ACATGTTATTTTTATTCTATTATAGAGGAAACTGAGCTGTGATTGGGTTGGAAGAGTACTTGTGTATTACCAAATTCATTTGTCTTTAAAGCAAAATGATCTGTTTAGATATGCCAAATTTTTGTTCTCTGTTGTTATCTTCACTTTTATTTTCCCATTCTTGACCTAAAATGAGTTGTATGATTGACTTCAACAGGATAAATTGAGAAGAAAACTAGTTGTATTTACCACTTCTTGCTCATAATCAAGTACAGCTTAATTCAATTCCTTTGAAAAGAAGGAACCTAGTGTCTGTCAAACATCATATTTTATTTGGAAGCTCCAAAGATTTGTAAACAGGACTGAACTTTACAATTAATTACACTACGCTTCCTTCCTTTGTTAGAACACAGCAAATCAACCTTCTCAGACATCTTGCAATTGGAGTCACACGTGCAGCCAACAAAAACCAAAATTTCCTATTTTTGATTGCTCATGTGCCATGGTTGGACTAATTCAAAAAACATCTGTTCAAAAGTATATATTTTTGATGTGAGGCAAAAACAAATTACTTCATCTAGGATGTCGTCGTCGAAATATTAACATTTCTTCTTTCCCGTGCCTTGTTTGCCCTCAACTGCGATGATTCCTCAGCATCGATGCTTTGCAATTCATCAACCATCACTCCAAAATTAACTTCGGTTGTACGAACGTTAACACTTGGTAAGATGGTATGTGGACCTGATGTAAGGCCCACAATATGCATTTCCCCAACTGCCATGGGAGTAGGCATGAACTGGAATTGTTGTCCTTCACCCGGGCTGATTGTCGATGACGATGCCCTCCTAGGCATTCTTTTCGCATGTGGATTTTCCTACACATCAACAAATAATTTTCTATGTAACTAAATCAGATAAAAGACTATCGTGAATGTAAAAAGGAATAAAATTATAATTAAAATTAATGATAAGAATAAAAATAAAAAGCCCCATCTACTTCATTACCTGCTACGTTGCTATATTCAGCCATTGGTTCTAATTCCGCTTCAAACTAGTCTTGTGAGAAGAAAGATGAATCAGTACACATGATTTTTATGTTAAATAAGCTAAAAAATAATCAGAATTCCTACATCAGCATTGGGTGCATCGGATCTATCGTGATATCTTTTATTGTGACTGCATGTGCCACATGTTGAACACGACATTTTCACCCGACCCTTTCTTCGAACGTAAGACTTTCCTTGTGAATGCATGACCACATCTTCGTCCGCCCCCTTTCTCCTATTTATCTGCCTCTTTCCCTTCTATGGGACAGTCCACGATGGGGGGATTATATCGATGACTTCCGCATGGGGCCATAATCTCATCCCGTTTATGGGGTTCAAGATGTTCTCGTAGCATCTCATATATGTCTCGATTGTGTAGCAGTTGTCAACGTAATCCTCAGGTTCGTTCCTACAGACATTGCGTGCATGCACGGAATCCCAATGAGTTCCCATTCTCTACAGGCACATGTTCGTTCATGAAGATCGGCAACGTACGTTCCAAAGCTGTAATCAACTTGCCATTTAGGGCCTCCGACAAGTGCAATGTGTATTATCGAGATTTCTCTGCAATCTTGTGAAGCTTTCTCTTAATCTTAGGGCACAAACGACCAGTACATCTCATCATATTATCTCGACACTTGCGGATCCGAGTCGTGAAGGTTAGTTGAATAGAAGTGAGCATCGTAATAATCATCTTCTCCCTATCACTTCTTAATGTCTTGTTGAACACTTTACATACATTATTCAAAAGGATGTCGCTCTTCACATAAACAGAGAAATGAGACCGACTCCATTCTTGTGGAGGCCTTTCCATCAACCATTTGTATGCTTCTTCGTTCAGTTGCCTGATTTGCTGCATCTAATGTCGGTAGTCAGCAACAGTTATCAACTTCGTAGCACGCCATACATAATTTTTCAAAATTGTTCCCTTAAACCTGTGGTTGAAGAAGTTCGTATACATATGTCGCACACAGAATCTGTGCTCAGCCTCAGGAAACAACTCCTCCGTCACATTCTGTAAACCTTTTTGTCTGTCCGTCATCAATATCCAACCTCTACCATTGTCAATCCCAATGTCATCTGCAAGATACTTCATAAGCCATCTCCAAGTGTTTGTGTTCTCTCTTTCAACAACCACGTATGCAATCGGATAAATACAATGGTTAGCATCAAGTCCAATTGCAGTTAGCAATATTCCACCGAAACAACCACGTAGGTGACAGCCGTCAAGTCCAACCAACTTCCTACAACCATACTGAAATCCTAATTTACAACAACTAAAACAAATATAGATCCCCTGAAACACCTGTTGCTACAAAGCGATAATCATGGTAGACCCAATATTGGTTCGTAAAACTTCGGCTGCGTCTTGTATAGTCCCTACCAACAACTCTTTGGCATATCTTCTCATCTTCCATGCCACATTTCGACTAATATCTGTACGTAAATCTTTTTTCACCGTCACCAAAATAAGTTCTGTCTTCCATTTGAGGTCTGCCTTGAATTGTTCAATATACCGTTTGGTTAGAAATACATAATTGCAATGTCTGTTAAATTGGTCGCAACTACATGTATGCTCCGATGTGTAGAATTTCACCTATAGTCTCTCAGAAGCATCAAATGCAGATGCCCATATCCTCCATGTACACCCGAGTTTGCAAGCCACACTCTTCTATTCTCATTTACCTTAAACTTGACATTATATCCATTCATCGCACCATATGTCCTTACTATCTCTCTGAACTCAATTGCAGAAGTAAATAATTGTTCGACCTCAAAATGTGGAATCTTCAATCCCGAATCGAAAGAAAACTCAAGAAATCGATAACCACCCTCTTCGTCGGAAGAGCATTGGGACAATAGCTCCTCCGACGAAAGATTTTCCAACTCATCTACTTCAATATCAATACCCCCCCCCCCGGGTCTGCTCATCCTCTACTCCCCTATCACATCCATCTAACCCCGCTTCAATTCCATCTGTCACATTACTGCCATACAATACATCATCGTCATCAGATGCAACGTCATTATCAGAATCAATGAAGTTTGGATCATCAACATAACATGTCACAAAATCAAATATCTGAAATCAAAATAGAAACCTTCAAGTGAAAAAAAACTCTCTGTCGCTCAAAATGCAAAAAAGGATTTGAAGAATATGAAGTTTAACAAGTGGAATGTAAGAAATCATTCTTCATTCACGATTGATGTTAATGGAGAAGTGGGAGTTTTGTTTTTACCATTTGATTTCCTCAAACTACTGCCGTCTTGAACATATATTATATCATAAAGGTTTGTTTTGAAATGGAAGTTTGCAGCTCTAGGCCGTATTAGACTGGATTATTGCTTCTTTTTCTTGATTTTATGTTTTAATAATATTTGACAGACTGGTGGTACAAGCAACCAGCAAAAGGACACAAAAAAGACATGCCCACCAAGATTGCAAAAGTCAGAGTAGAGAAGAAGAAAAAACAACAACGTTCTGGCAAGCAATTCTGCGGAAGGAAAGCATGGAAATGACATGTTCTCCATTTAACCTTTTTAAGTGTTTTATTTCCTTTAATTATACAATATTTCCTTTTCTTTGCAATATAGATGGGAATACATACAAATTTTGTTCTTGTAACAACTTTCTGGAGGGGGGAAATGTTACATTTCAGAAAACAAAATCAGGAGATGAAAAAAAATTGCATATTTACAAGTTTATGGACAATGTAAAAATTCTATTTTCAATCTTAGGTGCATGTTATAAAAAGAAATGTTTGTTGAGTCTTATGTTCCACAGGCATCTACTAGATTGCGGGATGGGAATATTTGATATTAGCCCTTTTGGTTTACATTAAAATCAAGATTTTAGTAAGTTTTGATAAAAATTGATGAAATGTATAATTGAAAAGTTGTAGGTCCATGAAATATGTGGTTAAAATTAATTGTTAATTTTGAATTGAGATTAAAAACAGATTTTAATCTATACCAAACAGGTACAAGAAGTGTGTGTGTGTGTGTGTGTGCATGTGAAATTGTTCGGATTCAATGTTTTATTTTCAAATTACAAAAATGGCTTATTGGTACAATACTTCCATCGAATGAACCTATTATCAAATACCTCATCTTTTCAAATTGTTTGATAACCTTTCTATATGATCTTTGATGCATAAAAGATTTTTTTTTTTTTCATTTTTTCAATAAAGCCTTGTGAAATAATAAATATATCATCTTATTTAAATAAAACAAAAAAGATGATGAAAGTAATAAAGAATTAATCTAAATTATAGTCCCCGAAAGAAAAAAAAAACTCTCCCCCACCACCTCTTCCCCTACCACTACCAAAGTCATCACCGCCGCATTTTTCCTACCCTCATTTTACTCAAAACAAATTGGGGCCACTTCATTAGTTTGCAGAGCTTCGGCAATGGCTATGATGGGCGGATCCAGGATCGGATTGCAGGCTGAGCTAATACGTAAAAAAAATAAAATTATACAAGAAAAGTTTTTTTTATATAAATTTTTTTTTCTACAAAAAAAAAAATGGGCCGGGGAATGGACTGGGCTACAAATCCGTCCCTGGCTATGTTGATCAGAAGTAACAAAACAAGACCCACATTTCTCCTCTTCATATCAATTACTGCTTCCGTTCATTTCATTCCAAACCCAAATTCACAATCTTTATCCAAAGCTCCAAAATCCTATCAGAAGAATTTAATTCCTGTCTTGGAAATTGGAATGGTAAATCATCCGAGAGTTGCATAATATAATGGTCTCTTCTTTGGAAGAATCACAAAATTTAAAAAAAAAAAAATACAAAGCAAACGACGTCGCAAGAAAGGGGCCCGCAGACTGCAGTTCAGTTAAGAGTTCAGAGTAGCGCAACGAACTTGACTACTTTCGAGGAATTGTTAGTTACTCATCGCCTCCAAAACACAAAACACATAAATCTGAATAAAATAAAATAAAAAATCTAAGAACAAAAGAAGAAATGGCAGCAAGAGAAAGGGATAGAGACCTAGAACTTCTGTTACCAGTGGCGAACATAACAGAAACCGCACCTCCGCCTCCCGTGGCTGCTCCGCCACGTCGTACGTCCGGCAAAGAGGTCGCATTTCTATTAAAAATGAGAAATATAACTGTTTATTGAGGAGATATTTTGACATTATATTGACATTTTTATGGATAAATTTGATCCTTTCTGTATGTAAGGGTTTACGTGCCCATCGATGATCTTTTGATACACAAAATAAATCTACTAGAATTGCTGGTTGTGAGGGTTCTAAAGTTTAATTGAGGCCCTAATTCAGAAAAAAAAAAGGGAAGAGGAAGATTGTTATCTTGAATTATTTGTAAGATTGGTCTTTTTGGAAACTACTATGGCACTGCACATTTTTCCACTGCACGTTAATTTGGAGTATGAAAAGGTTGATTGATTTTGTTCCCCACTTCAATGTTTGGGATGTTTGACTGACGGTGCACTCAAGCTTTTTGTTTTGCTTCATTGTAGGCGTTCTCCACAGTAATTCATAGCTGGGCTTCGAAAAAGTTTATGTCGGGATGGTAATCTTCCTAGACTCAACTTTGTTTTGGTTCAAATTAATGTAACTTATTTTCATTTTATTTCCTCCTGCACATCCCATACTGGTAAGATGAAGGCATCTGAAATGTAGTCTGTTGATTGCATTTTGGAAGTTAAACATTCAAGGCGTGTCCCTCGTTTATGCATAATTTTTCTAGTGATAGAAAGGGCATTGGTTTTCACATATAGCATGATAGACGAATCGAAGTATTGACACAGAAATCAGTTTTTTCTGATGCAGTAAAATTTGGGGATTTTTGTTTGCAGTGTCATTCTGTTTCCAATAGCTGTTACATTCTACATCACTTGGAGTTTTATCCATGTTATGGATTTCTTCTCTCCAATTTATAATCTTTTGGGGATCAATGTTTTCGGTAAGTAGGGTCTTTGCATTCCGCTGCCAAATTAGATTTGAAACTACTTAAAGATTATGTACTGTTTGCATTTGAAAGCCTTAAAACTACTGTTGAGGATAAAAGTAAATTTATGTTCTCGTTTCATAATTTATATTATAACTTCTTGCTATTCTAATTGATTGGTCAATCTGCAGGTCTTGGATTCATCACTTCGATTATCTTCATCTTCTTAGTTGGCATTTTCACGTCATTTTGGTTAGGAGCCTCCTTACTTAGTCTAGGGGAATGGTTAATTAAGAAAATGCCACTTATAAGCTACATTTATTCTGCCTCCAAGCAGATAAGTGCAGCAATATCACCTGGTAAGCACATATCCTCTCATTCACATTATTTACCCACGGCCATTTTCTACGCTTAATGTTAGTGGCATGAATACAGATGAAAGCTCGAGTGCCTTCAAGGAAGTTGCCATCCTGAGACATCCACGCATTGGGGAATACACATTTGGCTTCATCACTTCAACAGTTGTTCTTCAGAAAACATCTGGAGAAGAAGAACTCTGCTGCGTCTATATACCGACTAACCACCTCTATCTTGGGGATATACTTCTCATGAACTCAAAGGATGTAATAAGGCCTAATTTGTCTGTTCGAGAAGGAATTGGTATGAGTCTTACTATCAGAAAATAGGCCAATGGCTTCTTCTTTCGTAGTATGGTTGCTAAGGATCAAAAGTTAATTTGGACCATTCAGTAGATCCGACAATGGACTGAACGCAGTGTGTCTTTTCACTTTGTTGTGCAGAAATTGTCATCTCCGGGGGCACATCAGTACCTAAAAGAATAGCTGTGCTGGACTCTCAATCCATCCCAACAGCAAGAACTAACAACTTTGGCACATGGTACTGCATTGATTGTGGCATTATAATTTACTATTGCTCTGTGCTGAATTTCACAACTCTTGCAGGTCCAATTACCTAGATTCAGTCCATTAACAAGTAACAACAGCAGCAGAAGTTCTCAAAGACGTACCATAAATTTTTGAAAAGAACATTTAGGAATGAGGATTGAAGTTCTCGCTCAGAATGGCAATTTTTGCACGAGTTTGTGTTGAGCTCCTGTATGAGATGTTGCAACTCTTTGTAGGTTTCAAGGAATCAGAATGTGGTGATCAAAGCAAGAAAACGTCAACAGAAAAATAATCCTAGGGAGGAGTTTTGCTATTTATTTCTTGTATTTGGACGAGATTGATGGATTATATTTGACTTACGAACAACTTAAGGGCTAAATTTCACTTGAGTGTGTGTAAATGAACCAGATCCATCAATTGTTTGGTGAATAATGTTGATATAGTTGTTTACATTATTGTTCTAAAAATCACATTTAAAATTACGTTTCAAGAAACTATTTAAATTAACATTTTAATTTAAAGAGTAAGTTTGACTCTCTATTCTCTATAATTAAATGCAGTCAACAAATTCATTCTCTATAATTAAATGCAGTTAAAGTATTTCAATTTCTAATGAAGGAAAATAATATAATAATTTGGAGGGAAGTTAGAAAAAATAGAAGATATGAACAAGTAATAAATGTTTTTTGGGAATGTTAAATATAAAGAGCAAGTTGGAGTATTTAATTTTTTTCTATCCAAATATATAGATGATAACTAAGTTGTAAAATATGCTTCTTAAAAACAGAGTCTCTCGGAGATGCTCTTACCTAATATGTCATTAATTCTGTGTTTGGATAAGTGGATAGTATTTTTGAACTTATTAGACTGTGGTCAAAAATAAAGTTTGATCATTTATAAGTGAATTATAATTCATTTCTAAATTATCCGAAAGCCTAAATCTATGCTAGTAGGCTATCTTAATTATCACTGAAATATAAAGGCCGTAGATGAATGCAAATTTTTTTATGAAGTTCAAAATTAATTGAATTAAATATAATTCAATATTGAAAATAAAATCCATTGTCGTCCAGCGGTTAGGATATCTGGCTTTCACCCAGGAGACCCGGGTTCGATTCCCGGCAATGGAACTTTTTTTATTATTTCTCAATCTTTTAGATTGTTGTAAATCTACGACGTCGTTTCACTTTACTTTAGCAAAACAAAGAATCGCCGGCCAAAAAGTGCAAGATGCATCCATATCCGTGTATGCTTAACTTTACACGTGCGACCTTTCTTTATTCCTTTCTATTCATTTTCTTTCTGAAGAGATATTTTACGGAGTCATTCTACATACTACAGTCCTACAAACTTGTATTGGACTTTTTAATTTATAGTTTCAATTGCGAAATTGTGTTGACATCCTGGTAGATGGCTTCAAATTCTCTAATCTGTGAAACCGGACCATGGAAGGATTTGACGGTAAATTCAAATTTTCACCTCTTGGCATTTTTCGATTTGATTTAGCCGTGTCTATTTATGTGGCGTACTTGTGCATTTCCAGGCACATGTTGAGAACATTAAGAAGACCCATTTGCGTGAATTGTTATCCGACACCGAGCGATGCACGTCTATGATGGCGTATGATATTTGGAAGTTTGAGTTTAAGATCACGCTCCATGTAGTTACACGTGTTAATATTTTTTTATTTTTTTTTTTGGGTGCAGTGAATTTGATGGGATTTTGTTGGACTATTCAAGGCAATGTGCCAATCTTGACACCTTGGATAAGCTCCACAATTTAGCAGAGGTGAGATAGAGTTGAACCATTATTTTTTGGAGGGAATATAGAACGTTGAAAACTTATTAATTATAATGGTGTGGTGATTCAGGCAGCTCATCTCAAAGAAAAGATTAATCGGATGTTCAATGGAGAACGTGTGAGTCAAGGTTTTATTTTGCTGAATTTAATCACATATAGTTCAAATCAAATGTTTTTAAGTTGGTTGTGTCGTGTAAAACAATGTCTTATGTAGATCACTGGTGTCAGGTGAGTGATTGTGATTAGTTACCGTCTGCTAAACTTGTTGACAAAATTAAAAAGAAAAATGAAAAGAGTTTAAGGCTTTCTTTGTTTAATAACCTTTCCTACAATATCTATCTTAATTGTTCTAATTGGCCAAACTCGTCAATCATTTACTCTGGCATTTGTCATCTAACCCGTACTCCTTTGGTTCTGTGGCTTCTTCAGATAAATAGTTCAGAAAATAGGTCTGTCCTTCACATAGCACTCCGTGCTTCACGGGATTCAGTTATAAATAATGATGGGAAGAATGTGGTCCCTGATGTTTGGCAAGTCCTAGATAAGATCCGAGATTTTTCTGAGAGGATTCGAAGTGGTGCCTGGGTAATTCTCGCATCAAATATGATCTTTATAAGTTTTGATTGTTTCGCAACGTCTTTATACTAAGTTGTCTGGAAAAATGTTAGATTGGAGCCACTGGTAAAGTGTTGAAAGATGTAATTGCTATAGGAATTGGTGGCAGTTTCTTAGGACCTCTGTTTGTGCATACGGCACTTCAAACAGGTTGATATGATGCAATTGCAGCATTGTTAATTCCATAACATTTTACCTTTTCCCATATCTGTTAACTTTATATGTCTACAAACAATGACATGACTCATTCAACTTAAATTTGGTGGCATGCAGATCCAGAAGCTATTGAATTTGCACAAGGTCGTCAATTGCGTTTGTAAGTGTAACTATCTTGCCTGAATATTTAGTGTAGCTTTATAGCATCAACGGCCTAAATTGGTATTTTTGTTGCCTGAATTTATTTTGATTTAGGAAAATCCTGCCTCTGATGCTGTATTTAGCAGAATTTGAATTGGGTATTGCTCAAGCTAGTATAGAAATCCCTAAAATAATCACTTTCTCAATATAGCGTTTGACATGTTGCTCTTTTTGTTGTTTTGAGCTGTAAATCTGGACTATCAATTTTTCATGTCAGGGATATGAAAGCCCGTTAAGTGAAAAATCTTAAATTAAATAAGCCATATTTTTAGGTAGTAGTACGCTCAGTAAATTGTGGAAGCTTTAGCAATGGTTATCATCATGTTGATATTTGGCGCATTGTGAAGGGGGGTTCTAGTTCTTTTCTGCTTTCTGATAGTAGCTCCCTCTCATTTTCCTTTTCTCTTCTTTGTGTTGGGTGGGTAGGGTTTCAATTTTACTTCAGATAAATCATCCATGTTGGAAGGGTACTTGTGAAAAGGAATTGGTCTTTCTTCGTCTATTTGGATAGCTTTCTGTAGATTACCATTTAAAGTCTCTGGATTTATGATTCGAGGTCCAATAAAGTTCTTTGTAGCTGGGATGCATTGCGTCTGAAACTGATGATTACATATTTTTAGAGATACTACGGTTGTTGAAGCTTTAATGGGCCACACATGAACTTTGCCATGCACTGAAATATGCAACTATAATGATTTACTACTATTTATCTGATTCTGCTCTCTTTTTTACCATTTTCTTGCTTAAGCCTTGCAAATGTCGATCCAATTGATGTTGCAAGAAATATTGCAGGCTTGAATCCTGAAACCACACTAGGTATTTCATTTTTCTATATCTTGTATTTGCTATGTCAGTGCTTCATGGACGACTTGTAGAACTCTTGGAATTTTAAAACTACTTTTATCCTTTTTGTTGTAATCTATTGCAGTCGTGGTGGTTTCAAAAACTTTCACTACAGCTGAGACCATGTTAAATGCCAGGACACTGAGGGAATGGATATCAGCTGCCTTGGGGTGAGTATAATTAGAATAATCTACATTTGCTGTTTTTAATGAAATTACTATTCCACGCCTAACAGATATATCATATTCCTGCCCCCCAACCTTTAGTTGAAAGCTGAGATAATTGTAGTATTATTAATGTGAATATATATTTTTTAGGAACTTCATGTCCCTTTTTTGCCTAATGCTGTTTTTATGTTATCTCATTTCATGTTTACCATTTCCTTTCTTGTGCTATCTAGCATCTAACACATGAGACTACTCTGTCTATGAGTTTTGAGCTTCATTATTTATAAGATAATAGACTAAATTAGCATGAAAATCTTTTTATGTTTTTAGTTCTGCCCAATGTTTTTGCTATAAATCAGATCTTTGGATTTATCAACTCAGTTTTTTATTGAAACTGCCCATAGTGGCCCTGAAAATTTATATTTGAGGTATAGAATATTTTCTATGAGGTCACGACAAATGACCATGTTCCATGTCTGAAAATCTTAACTATTTATTCTTTTGGCTGAAAGAAGTGCATTGAACTTTGGGACATATCCGAAACTTTTCCAATGAGGTGGGTGGGGAGCGAGGAATACATTATGTGGGCTCTCTTAGAATGTATGGATACATGCTCATTATTCATGGAAATAATGAACTTACTATTTACTTATAAGAGTTTCTTTGTTATATGACTTGATATAGCTATTTGCTAGGATAGTTTCAAATTTTGGATCCTTCTAAAATCTGATCCTCTCAGATACTATCTACATTTATCTACCTAATTTCATCTATATATCTCTCTTAACACAATTCTAGGCCTCAAGCGGTGGCAAAGCATATGGTTGCTGTCAGTACTAACCTCATGGTGTGGTTATTATCTTCTCTCACTTCTCTTATCTCTTTTCACCGTTTAAATAATTTTTTGGGTCAATCTAATTTTTTCGAAGTGTCCCGTATATGTAATTTTTAATATTAAATTCGAAGTGCTTTCTATTATGCTGCTCCTTTTTGAATTCAGGAACTCATATTTCTTTAGCCTTGGTTCAATACTAACATCGTAGTTTTAAAACTCAGTTATCTTGGTTGGATAAATAAAAGTTTTGGCAACTCATAGAGAGAGTTGTCTGTGGTCTGAGTAAAGTGGAAAGTTGGTTCCCTCGTGGATTCAACTTTGAAACTGTCCATTTGCAAGTATGTCTCAAAACTGGAATATGGAATTACGTACTTCCTGTCACTACTGCCATGAGTATTATTGGTCTGAGTTAAACAATGAGTCCCAATTATTCAATACGCTTGTCAATTAAATAGTTCAGGGTTTTCCTCCCTGAAAAATGACTAGTGACTTGTTCATATCCTGCTAGGTTTTACAAATGTTTATCCCCATAATCAATTGTAAGGTCATGAAACTACCAAATAATTTTCAAATATCTTCTGGAATAATGTCTTGTTGAGTTATTCAGAGGGGGATGTGGTGAATGACGAGGGTGGAGTTTTGGTTGGAATCAGCTCGGCTACTTGTCTTCTTGCTGTTTCACCGAATGAGTAATCTCAAACTTTTACTGCTTTTAGATGAATCCAGACTCATTGTTTGAGCAAGTAACAGTCACGGATTGCTATGTTGAATCGCAGATGAGGGTTTGAGACTAGGTTTAGTGGTGCTGGTGGTGGACCTATTCAGATATTCACTGTAGAAGGCACAGGAAAGTGTGAAAACTCAAATTATTTTTCCTCTTCCTTGGCTTCAGCCTTCATGAGGACAAGAAAAGGATTGAAGTATAGATTAACTTGTTTTATAAATATCTTTCATTTTCTATCTCTTCTTTATATTTGTTTTTTCTTTTCAGTTTAGTTCTCTCTTTCTCTATTTGCATTATTAGCCCCTGTTTGATGGGGATTAAAAACCAGATTTTTAGTAGATTTTGATAGAAGTTGACGAAATATATGGTTGAAAAGTTGTGGGATTCATAAAATATGTGGTTGAAATGAATTGTTGACTTTAACTTAAATTAAAATCTAGATTTTAATCGGTACCAAACATAGTTTACTATGCACCTGAAAGAACAAGCAGGATGCCAAATGCAACGTTCAATAAGTTATGGCATTATTTTCGTTATCATATTTATTACTATGTTATACATTTGATTCAGATGTTAAATCTAAGATTTGACTATATGACTTGGTTATGACCTCTCAAAGTCTTTTGAGTGTCCTCAACCCATTAACTTGCCAAGATGAACTTGAATTCTGTGTTTTTAAACATGATGGCTGTAGTACTTGTTACAAAGAAGTACGTGTACATACAAAAAAAATATAAAATATATATATATAGAGTGGATTAAATAAATTGGAATTTCTCTTTACCTAATCAGTGTACCACCTCTTAAATTCATCAACTTATTTATCATCTTCTTTTTTAATGCATCTTGGCAAGCAAATAAGGTAGATAAAATAAATTGGAATTTCTCTTTACCTAATCAGTGTTCCACCTCTTAAATTCATCAATTTATTTATATCTCCTTTTTTAATGCAGCTTGTAGAGAAGTTTGGCATTGATCCAAATAATGCTTTTGCATTCTGGGATTGGGTGGGAGGCCGCTATAGTGGTAAGTATCTTTGGTTTTTTGGGTAATTCCTGCTCTAGAGTGATTTGTAATTGGTCTCTAAATCGCTGTTTGCAGTTTGCAGCGCTGTTGGAGTACTACCTCTTTCTCTGCAATATGGATTTCCAGTCGTGGAGAAGTACAGTAGCATACTCTTTTCTTTGTTTAACCACTCATTTACCGAGGATTTTATGGATTCAATGAACAAAACTATTTGATTTGATATGCTAGATATTCTAGTACAGTTTTGCATAAAGTCAAATTTCGTATGATTTGATTATTTGTTTAAAAAGTGCTTAATGGTCTGGATAATTCAGTGTTGTGTGACATTAAGATTAAGATGAATTTCACAGTTGGTTTTAGGTCTCAACATGGCTAATGATCTGTGCGAGTTATTGTTAGACATTATATTTTTTACTTTATGAAGATAACTCTACTAATATTAGGTAGAACGATAATAAGCGAAGCGTTATTCACAATAATATAGAACCTTAGTATTTAAAAAGAAAAATGTTTCACGGGCTTAGTATTAAAACAAAGTTCATGTTTAGCAAAGCTTAAGTTATAATTTAAGTTGGTTAAACGTACTTTTTAGCTATACATTTCGTAGGACTCACAATTACTATCCATTAATTATCACACATTCCGTAGGACCCACAACTTGTAATCTACAAGAAGTTTCACCTAACATAGCTGTTTACATTTTTGGGATGTGTTTAGGTTGTTGTTTTCCTTTTAGCAATGTTCAGTTATGCACAGTTACATTTTTTAATGACCTTGATTTTCTGTATTTTATTTTCATTTGTTTAGACCAATAGCTACTGACATGTTTCATTTGTTTCCCTTTGCATGAAGGTTCTTAAAGGGAGCTTCAAGTATTGATCAACACTTCTATTCTGCACCTTTTGCGAAGAATTTACCAGTATATACCTTTCATCTTGCTGCTTTATTGCGCTACTTATTGTATATGCAAAAATAGCCTTCTATTAGGGATCTAGTCATGTAACATCTAAGCTAGGGTCTGAGAGATGTCACCTGAGAGCATTCTCTGTATCTTTTGGTCTCCATATGTGGCAAAATACACACCTGGTTTCCTTTTTCTTCCTTTATTTTTTGTACTTTTAGTTCATTTTATGATCTTGTGGATCTTGTCAATCCTGGATTTCATGTTTTCGTTTTCATCTATAAAATGTTTCGCCGCATAGTCTGCCTGGGCTTTTCTTCTTATACAACTCATTATACCGCTGATGTGCATAAAATTATTCCTTCAGGTGCTATTAGGTTTGTTGAGTGTTTGGAACGTATCATTCCTCGGATTTCCTGCAAGAGTAAGTTTAATATATTGTGAATTCTGTGTAAATTTCCCTCTTTTGAGGTTCCTCCGTTGAACTTTTTACTGGCTGAGCCATATCAATGAGTCCTTACTCAATTTCAGGCCATTTTACCTTATTCTCAAGCACTGGAGAAATTCGCACCCCATATTCAGCAGGCATGTTTACCATGACGGTTTCTCTCTCTCATTTTTCAAATAATGTTGCTTGCACATCTTTCTAGATGCTTTTTTGGAAGGATGCTTATGCCTTCCTAATATTGTTTAATTCAGGTTAGTATGGAGAGCAATGGAAAAGGGGTATCAATCGATGGTGTGCCTCTTCCCTATGGGACAGGTGAAATTGATTTTGGCGAACCAGGAACAAATGGCCAACACAGCTTTTACCAATTGATTCACCAGGTAAATGATGTTTAATCGTAGAAGCCATTTATGCATGCAGTAACTTCAGCTTGAGCAGAAAGGGAAAGTTTCGTGCACCATGCTTCTGTATTTGTCATTATGTATTGTTTCGCCTAATTCCACCTGGAAAATAAAGGAGGTTGGAAAATACAAGGGAGAGAGATGTTGTTCAAGGCTTAAACTTCTGGCTTATTGTGTTGTCAAGTCATTCCTCTGTTTTCTGATCCTTTTTCTGCCTGGAACTACACATACTAAATTTGGGGACCATCCCCTTCTACATGTGCTTGTTTACTGTGGCCATTGTGCCTGTTGAAGTGAAGTACAGTTCATTTACTGAGGCTATGAAAGTCTTAGGCTGGACAAGTTCACATATTTTGTAAATGTAACTAATAACTTTTCTGAAATATACTGCATGGATAGAGAGTACCAAATTCTGGATATCAGAAGTGTCCTAGAATGATTCGAGTATTGGATCTTAATGTGCTCTAATTGAAGTACAATGGAAACTTTTTTATGTAATCAAATCCTGATTTAAAATCCAACTTTTGTATTTACTTTTTAATAATGCATTTAAGTAATGATACTCCTCTTTTATGTCCCTCTTTTAAAACCTCATCTCCCTTGATATTATTTTTCTTATAAATTTTTTAACATGTAACTTATCATGTATTATGGGCATTACTTTTGCTGGTGTTAAATAGTTATGCAAATTCCAAGTTTAACTTTTGAACATCTGAGCAAATGTGCTTTGACTATCTTCAGTTCAATTAGGTACTTAGGACATGTAACATGACCAGAAATGTTCGAGAGATTTTATTTGTTGGTCTCCATTAACAGATATTTCGTAAATCGGGGTGCCTACACTTATTATTTATTACAGAATCTCGTGAAGTTATTATTGCCATGAATCATCATGAAAATGAATCGTGAAGTTTTCATTTGAAACCTTGTCTATCTGCTGGACTTTCAGGGTCGTGTCATACCTTGTGATTTTATTGGTGTGGTTAAGAGTCAGCAACCTGTTTACCTGAAAGGTATTAATTTCTTTTCATGTATCTCCTTGCCTGGCACAAACTTGTGTTTACGAAATGAAGATAATTGATGCTTGGTAACATTTAGGCAACTTGCTTTTACAGGTGAAATGGTTAATAACCATGATGAACTAATGTCGAACTTCTTTGCACAGCCAGACGCCCTTGCTTATGGGAAGGTAGGAATTTTTTGGGTGGTATTTGTCAGATCCCTTCACTGGGTTATATCTATCCAAAATTCAAATTTTTTCATTGTTCTCGTGCGGCTTTAAATTGGAAATGAAGTATGCCACACTTCTGAAGTTATGTTGTTTGTGTTTTATTTATTTTTTGACATATTCATATATCTTTCTTTCTTTCTGCTGCATCCTCATATTATTGAAGCTTCTCAGTATCATTATTCTAATCTTAGTTCATTTTCTTCCAGACTGCAGAACAGCTGCTAAAAGAAAATGTTCCCCGGCCTCTTATTCCACACAAGGTGGTTTGTTGAAGTTTTTTTTAGACTGTAGCATTTTGCTACAGTTTGATGTTTAGACTCACAATTTGACTCCCTCTTGTAGACTTTCTCTGGAAATCGACCTTCTTTCAGCCTTCTACTTCCTTTGTTGAATGCTTACAACATTGGACAGGTTTGTTATTTAGTCTTTCTTCTGCAAATTACACTGTGCTTGATCTTTCAGAGTGTTTAATAGGTTTTAATTTGTGAAACTAATATATAAACGGTTGCATATTTCAGACTGGGGTCTATTAAATCCTGTAATGATGAAAGCTCGAAATAACATAATATCTTCAACACCTTATATTTTTTCTTCTCAGTTGTTCTTGTTAGTATGGTTTATTTATTGTATTTGGGTGTTCCCTATGTCTCGGTATTACACTGCAATAATAATGTAATCTTGCTGAAAAATTGGAATGTCTGTAGATGTGCCTAATTTTCAAATTTTATATTATGTTGTCAGTTACTGGCAATTTATGAACACAGAATTGCTGTGGAAGGCTTTGTATGGGGTATCAATTCCTTTGATCAGTGGGGCGTGGAATTGGGGAAGGTATATCTAGTGGCAATAATTTTTGCATTTCTATTTTTCATTATCTTTGCTATGTGATGTTGATTTGTCATGTCTGAATGATTTTTGTGATCTCTAAATATAAATAAATTGCAGTCACTGGCTACTCAAGTTAGAAAGCATCTTCATGCATCTCGTAAGAAAGGTGAACCAGTTGAAGGCTTCAATTTCAGCACTACAACAATGTTGACAAGATATCTACAGGTATGGAAGTGAGCCTCTTGCAATGGACATGCTTTTATCTGCTTTAAATCCTTATAGGGAGTGAGAACTGAGATGTGCACAATTTATCCATCCGTAAAAGTACAGCTGGCTGTTGAAATTTTATTTGCAAAGAGGAGAAAAGTGAGTCATGGCATCATTGCATAGTTTAAAACGAATTTATTAATTGATACATTGGGACTTTGAATTATGCCATATTCTGTCACCTGAGGGGGTTATGTTTGAATCAGAAAGGTCTGTTCAGAAAATATGTTATCTTATCGTGTAATACATTTCTAATGATTTTAAATAATATTATCTAAAAAGATGGATAGCAGAACAGGTGAAGTTTAAAAGAAAGGATGGAAAAAAGTTTACGATTTTTTTATTCTATAGCATAGACCATTCTGTGTCAAAGTCATGTGGTGGAAGATATAGGAAAGGTTGATGAGTGGGCTTGATCAATGGATTGATTTATTACCCATTTAAAAGGTCGATTGTAAAAATACAGAGATAACTAAATGATTTGGGACTAATATATTTTTGTTTTCAAAAATTTTACAAAAACCGGGATAGGATTTTTGGAAGGCTTTATTGAGAGACATTTTTAAGTAGTATGAAAACTCAATTCTCCCTGCTACTATTCAACTGACATATATATTATTTATCCATGTCCGAGTTCCATTTATTCAATTCATATGTCAATGAAATAGTGGTTGGGAAGATTGAGTTCTCCATACTCGGGGAGTACTAGAAATTTTCCCCCCTTATGATTGCATAATGTAGAAGATCACTTATCATGACAAAGGGCAACTTAAAGGTTTAATTAAGTTTCGTCGACTATTATAGAGATGATATTTGTTCGGTTTCAAAGTTTATAGAATTTCTTACACAAATTCATTGTTCTTGGCAGGGAAGTGCCGATGTCCCCAAGGAAGATTGCACTATTCTACCAAAGATGTAATTTTGATCAACTCACAAGTCGGGTGAGTTCATGGTCATTGCTCTCTCTGTCGTGAATGTACCCATCGTTGTTGTCTTTTTGCAGAATTACCTCACATCCGGACAATTTTCTTTCATTTCTTATGCTTTTGTCCTCTATTATTTCCTCTTAACATTTTTCCATTTCCGCAATAATTGACATACTTGAAACAGAAACTAAACAGTTGATCTGTAAACTCTGGATTTTCTGAGGAATAAAGATCTGGGTGCATAAAGGCATTTCCATGTGTAGTTGAGTTGGAATGTATAAGTTGCAGAAATAGACCTCTTGTTTTGAGCCCCCATGCTTGACATGGTGCTAGAGGCTAGTATTTGTGATCCTTGTTGATCAAACTGCCAGTGGTGGTTTTTCTGTTCTTTTCTCCATCTCAAAAAAAGATATTGATTTGCTCTTTATGTTATTATGATTTGTAGTTCTTAGCGGAGTAACGATATTTATCAGCAGTGGTGTTCAAAAGGTGTAACAACCACAGTTTCTACTCTTGCTAATAGATGTATTAGTTTAGTTTTGGCCGTCAAAAGGTACACTTTTGGAATGCCAAGCTTGAAGTAGGCAAGTTTGTAATTTTATAATAGCTTTCTTACTATATACTCCAGAATCACATAGAAAAGAAAATATAACACCAGTTTCCCTAAAAGGTATTCGATCATAATAACAACACGAACTATCCTGTTCAAATAAAACTCAAGAAAATGTTCAATGAAACAAAATCATGAAGTGATGATCCATATGTTGCTCGATTTATTGGTGAATTTCCTGGACTTCAGGCGTTGCATTGAGCTCGATGACCATCTGTGCTATCCCGTCACCAACCTTTACTTCGAAATCTACATCAGAATGGTTATACAAGATCACAAAAACGGGATTCTTGTCAGCATCCAGCACACACACCTCCTCCCACTATTAATAGAATGCTCCCGGGCTAATCCTGATCGTCCCGCTACAAAACAAATTGATCTTCATGTTCAGTATAGAGTTTATTGTATAGAATTTGCGATACAAGTAAATTGATCTTCGTGGTTTTGGGTTAGTCATGCAAGTAATTTGATCTTTGTCGTTTTGTGTTAGTCATTATTTAATATTTAGTCAATCACCTAATCTTATCAAATTGATGTAACTGCAGACAAATTTGTTATTTTTCCTCCTTTGAACCAACCCAATAAAGTCCAGACAATAAAATAAATTGACTTTTAACTTGGAAGTCTTGAAGAAACATTACTGATTGCGCTCACCGTGTTGCTCTATGATAGCATTCACATAGCAACAGTGCTATTTGTACAACCAAATGGTTGATATACAAGTTGACCGACATTCATAATGGGGTTTTTTTTTTTTTTTAATTTTTTAATCATGCGAGCCCCGCACGTATGTGAGAAGTTATCAATCTCGGTTGCCAACCTCTCCTGTGCAAATGGAATTTCCCTTCACCGAGAGCATGTTTCGCTAATTTATAAGTATAGTGTTGGGCTTTTGCGTTGCCAAACAATTTTGGGACGAAGATATAATGTAATGATAGACGTGCTTCATTAATTGAAGAATTAAAAGAGTCGAATATTTCATACCATAATTACCGACTGACCGGCCTGAAATATTAAGTGTCATTTGGAAGATTAAACAAGTGTTGTTCAATGACCACTTTAGCATGAAGAGAGTTTGTACTCCTTGGATCTTGATGAGATCCGCGATTGTAGGTTCTCTTATAGAGGAATCCTAGCCTATTTCTCAGTCCGGGCCAGGTCGGCCCGTCAACATGTGAGCCCGGTAACGGTCCGCGTAGAAAAAAGCCCGCCCGCTGCGGGTTCCGGGCCGGTTACGGGTTGGAAGATTAAACAAGTGTTGTTCAATGACCACTTTAGTATGAAGAGAGTTTGTACTCCTTGGATCTTGATGAGATCCGCGATTGTAGGTTCTCTTATAGAGGAATCCTAGCTTATTTCTCATGTCATTCTCTAGCGGGTTCTTTCACGTATTTCTCACTTCTTCTTAACTGATACCTACAACTTAGTGCTTGTTCTTGATTTTTCACCATTCAGTGTGAATGTTTCTTGTCTCCTTCGTGGTGCCAAGGGTCAATCCTCTTAGTGTTGAGAATCGTGTTTGGCAGCGTGGTTGATGGTATTTGGTCTGTGAAAGTTCCCGTGGATTGGTAACTGATATCGAAAGAACCTTGTATATGGATTTTGTTCAAATCGGAGCTGAAACCTGTGGTTGAAACTCGAAGATTATGGGTAAAATTGTTACAAAAAGTCGGTAGATCCAAAACTAGGGGAGCTTAAAAGTAGATAGGCAGCTAGATAAAAATGCACATAATAGTCACACTTGCCTTGTTTTAGGGGAGCTTAAAAATAGATAAGCAGCTAGATAAAAATATCATCATTAAAGCAAAAACTCAACCATGCATTTAATTTAATTATGCAGAATTTAACGTGCATTGCACGTTATTCTTAAATATTTTATAAGTGCTATAAAAGTAATATTTGATATCAATTTGTTGGAAGAATTTGGTGAATCTCAAATGAATTAAAGAAAACAAAATTTAGGATATAAATTTGAGAGCAGAAAATTATACTCTCAAAATTCAAGTTATATGATTCAAATTTTTTGTGATAATGAAATACTACGAATGAGTAACTCTTTATACTACATTTGGTACATTAGAATTAATTGCTAATACATGAATTTAAACACTCTAATAAATTCTTAGATACGTAAATAAAAATAAATTTATCTATAATAATTCAAGATTCATTGAGTTTTGATTAATGTGAATGTTAATTAATTGAGAACTAATAACACTAAATTCATATATGACAAATATTTTATAGTATTTGTCACATATGAAAAACGAAAAATAAAGTATTATTGAAATAATTGAATTGTAGTAGGGTTAATCATTCGAAAAATGATCTTTACTTAAATCTTGTCCAGGATCCTCTTCTTCATCTACTTCCCTTAAAAAATCTGATGCCTCTAAGATGGAATATCTCTATGAAATATCCTATCTTCCTGAATCTGATAAAGTTCCACTCACAGATCTACCTCTTGTAAATCCATATCTTCCCTATACAAAACCTCGTCAGTCTATCTCTAAAACTGTCCGTAGCCTTATCTCTCCTCAAAAATCTCAAGCCAAAGAATTTGTCCAAGCTTCAAAGTTTGATCAACATCTTCTGCCTGCTACAGAAAAGGAGCAGTTTGTCACACTTGAACTGCCTTCTCATCTTCCAAAAGTATGGTTGTCTGAAGGATATACTCATCTCCATTTTGGAGCTGTTAGATTTGCCTTAACCCTTCATGGAAGAAAAGGTCTTCCT